GTGGGAGAGGTTGTAATAAATTTTTTAGGGGGTGGGGTACGTCATTTGCTACCCATAATATATAAGTGCTGAAGAATAGAGGTGAAACTAGAAAGTAACGTACAAAAGAAAGAAGGGGGAGAAATAAGGACGATATATATTTGAAAGGAAAGGTACTGTGAACACAACAGGCACCATTTAAACCTGTACCGTGGGGGTGACCCTCCCCCTCTTGTCCCGCTGTGACCAGCGATAGTCATTGTACTTTATTTAATAAATGTCAAGCTTTTCCTGGCACAACTTTTGGTTAAATTATACTGATATTTTGTCAAATGTGATTGCACTTTCGTAGACTTTTTCTGATTAAGCACACGTTTATCACTGCCTTTCTTTAAACCAAATGGCATGTGCTGATATGAATGTGGCCTGAGCTATGAAGACGTTATTCTCAAATAATATTAGTTGCTACTTTTTCATATCTTACGAACTGATTACAGATTTTTCTTTCTTAAATATTTGTCTGTTTTGTATACATGCGTTTTCAACAGTTCCACTACATTTAGTGGGAAATGTTCAATCTGATAAAATATTGATCTTATAAAAACGTTTGTTAAAGAATAGAATCACACTTAACTTTTTGGGTTTTTAAAAAGTTTTTTTTGCGAGATAACATTTTGGTAACGCAATTGATTCCCTGGAAATTGCACCTAGCTCGAACAACTGTGGCCCAAAACAAATCTTTGAAACACCTGCCACCAGTGTGAACTGAGAATTGTGTAATCAGCAGTCAAAGAGAATTGTTTTATATAGTGTATACTTTTATTATTAGCTCATCATGCTCAACTATGTCATGGCAGTGGGAGTACAATTCATAATGTATTAGATAATCAGGTAGTCTAGTGTTTTTCTGTACTTTAAAAAAGATTTTTTTTTCAAAAGTTTTTAAAAAATACGTTGTGGTCGAGGTGCGAAAAAGGGAAAAGGGGAGGGGAGAGGGGCGCGAAAGTGGAAGATATAGATTATAATTTGTACCGGTTTTTTTTTTAAATTTCGGCAAATGAATTTCTTTTTCACTACAATAAAAGTACGCTGTGGCCATTTTTATGTAGAACATATTATTAGTGTTTCATAGGTCTTAGTCTAAGCAGAAAAAATATTATGTTAAATATTTAAAATTAATCTTTCCGGGCTTGTTCGCTAACCAGTGAAGCAATATGGCTGTCGAAGGCAGTGCATTTTCAGTTATATTTCTCGGTATACTACCCATTATGAGTGTGTCCAGAACGTCTTTTCCCGTCCTAACACTCCCTATATGCTCCGGTGTACATGAGATCTAAAATCTGTCTATGACGTATATTCTGTTCGGATTGACAGCGGGTGGGACTCGGTGTGAGAGAGAGAGAGCACGGATGTACCAAAAGACACGACCAGACGGATAGACGGGCGAGTCAGCGACAGGCACAGGCATACGTCTGCTAATAAAGAGAAAAACTGGAGAGATTATAGGAGTGAGAATACGAGGCAGGGGAGTTAACTAGCCGAGCGGAGGGGCGAGGGGAAAAAAGCGGGCGCTGCGAGGCGAGGTGGGAGGAGGCTAAGGTCCAATAATGGCCAATTATTTGCTTCAGCTTTTTCGCACGCGCTCTGAGACGGCTGTACATTCGTCGAGACAGCCCCGCGAGGCGGAACCTCGCGCTCTACGTCACCACATTTTCCGCCCGCCAAAGGTCATTACGTCACAGGGGTTAATCGCTGATAAATTGAGCGACAGTGTCTCGAGTTCTAGAGAATCAAATCCCCAGGGGAAACTGCGGCTTGCGCCACGATTAGCAACTAATAAATAGTGACGGTAGCCCCTCTCTCCTCCTGTCTATCTCCGCCACCCGTCAACTTCTCAGACTCCAGACTGCCGAGCCAGGAAGATCGAGGATGGAATAAAGATATGACAGGGAGATACGGCCAACAGAAACAGCGGTTTTCTCTCGGCACTATGTTGGTGAAGTCTCAAAGAATATAATACTATCTGTCCGCGAAAGGTGCAGTGTTCTTACAATGAACATAATAGACGCGCATATTTCGGATTATCGTGTATAGTGACATTTCATTTGATATTGCAGTGAGTAACTTCAATTTTCAAATTTAAAGCATTATTCGAAAAGAGTTTGGAAGAACACATTTTGTCAAGAAACGCAGGAATGCGTACGGCATACCATAACACTATGACTTCTCCATAATCTGAAACGCACCGAAATGCAGTTATATTATAATCAAATATTTTAACTTTTCAACAAATCAATGACCAATCTTCAGAGTAAGTTGACTGTGCAAGAGCATTGTATAAAAAAAGAAAAGAAAAACAAACCTTTTAAAAAACGTATTTTTATATAAAAAGGGACACCTTCCAAAAATCGGGAAACATCAGAACGTCCGTTTCAAAACGCTATGCCATAAAATCTGTTGTTTTCTTACTTCAGTAAGGATATTTTACTGAGACAAGCTCAGAGAAAAGTTCTCACTTGAATCAAGTCAAAATCTTTGCGCTCCTTCAAATAAAACAACAACAACAACAACAAAATATTTTGTCATTCGAGGCGGAAGAGTTGTATTGACATGTGAGCAATTGTGCGCGTGTTCGTGTTCACAAGCTTCTAGTCGAGATTTCTGAAAAAGAAAACTCTGACGTCTCTCTGACCATGATGAACGGACTCCTACAAATGGGCTCAGGCCCTGCACAAATGCCGGCAGCTTTCAACCACCCTCACCACCCCCACTACAACAGCAGCAACCACCCCCACCACCACCACCCGCACCATCCCCACTTCGGACAGCTCTACCAACAACAACGTCCATCATTTGCCATCCAAGAGATTCTGGGCCTGGGATGTCGCCAGCACACATCTCCTTCCCCCGTCGGGGGAGACTCCAGTGGTATCATGGACCCCTCAGGGGCCCTTTCTGGGGTTCCCAACAGCCTTAGCGGCATGTACTTCCACGGAGGTCACTCCGGCACCCAGGGCCTTCAGCCTGACCCTTCACAGCCCCAGACGGGCTACCCTACAGGACATACGCACCCTCACCCTCACGGACACCCCAACCCTGCGGGATCTGGGGGGTTGTACCCCTGGAGGTTCGACCTGACCCCCACATCGTCTCCCCAAAGTCTGCCTCCACCCAGGTTCCCGGGGGTCGGCAGGCATGGAGAGGAGCTCAGCTTCGGCTACAAACACAATATTGCTGATGAGGGTGAGTGTCCGTGTTGTCACTACGTACGTTGAATACAGCCGTCCTGCCTTCCTCTCTTGTTTTCCTAACAGCATACATGATTCGCATTTCTCAGGGGGTAAAATGAATGTGAAAAACGAGTAAAGTCTTTTCACCCTTAAAAAGTAGATACATGAATTGATAAACCAATGATGGTTGGTTTGGTAAAATACACTTATAATTAATAAACTTAAAAAGTGGTACACGAATAAGCAAAACCCAATATTTGAAAGAAAAAAAAAAGAAGAAAAAAAATCAATGTACAAAGTAACAAACAGTTGATAAATAAATACCATATTATAACAATTACACTTTGAATGACTGAATGAATGAATGAATGAATGAATGAATGAATGAATGAATGAATGAATGAATGAATGAATGAATGAATGAATGACCTTAGTTTGAAGATTTCAATTCTCGTCTTAACTGGAAGGAAAAAAACCCCGACAACATTGTTTTGAAAATTCCTGGCGTAAAATGGTCCATTTTTACTTCGTTGTATGGAATTTTCCTCCGCCTTGAACCATACGAAGTGGATTTTACTTATCATTGACACTGATTTTTGGAAGAGAAACAATTACTATAATGTTACTTCTGAAGCTTTAAAAATAGAGAGCAAAAAAAAAAAAAAAAAAAGAAAGAAAAGAAAGAAAGCAAAGGAAAATAAAACCAACTAAAAACGACGCGTGGAGTGTTCTTCATAGTATGTCAACGAATAAAAGTTAGTGACTTTCATAATTTACAAATAATGTAGTTATTGGTGTTTTACATCTGAAAAACAGTTTTAATTGCCGTATTGTTACTCTATCTGGCTTCCAAAACATGAGAGAAATCTAAACATAACTAAAAGTGGGCGGTTCTTTCTTTAAACTCCCCCTCCCCATCCCCAAGCCCCCCCCCCTCCCTTGTGGGTTTAAAGGCGCGTTTTTATGTTTCAAAGAAACAAATTCAAAACGATCTGAAAAGTTGTCTTTTTATTCTTCTCAGAAGTATCCTTCCTTCGTGTACTCCCAATCAATTTAGAGGCAAGATAACATTATTATGCCTTTAACAATGTTCTTCCTGTGGCTGGTATGTTATTTTATAGAAATGAAAAGGGTGATTCAGGTAAAATAATAATAATATAAATTATTTTGTTTGGACAGGGAGGCAAATACGTTATTTTCAAGCGATATGTACCTTGCTTCTCAAGATAAAGATTTTGGTTTGCAGTCTCTGTTTCAGTCAGAAAAAAGTATCAGAGATCAAAAGTGATGAATTTCCCCTTTAGAATGAGATAAATGGATATTAGGGCTGTATTTTTATTTGTTTTTGCGCTAAATTAAGAACGTTAAAATAATGTTCTTGAAACATCAAAAGAAGATAGCAAAAGGAGATAACAGATCAAACCATATCTTTTAAACTTTAGAGAATCGAATTTGATGCATACTGTAAAGTTCGTCAAAAGATCATAACAAAAAAGAACAAAATGAAACACATTTGATTTTTTTTAAAACCTGTTTTCTGAAAAGTGTTAAAAAATTTGAGCGTACTCAAATTTTACAAGCATAACTTAATGGAGTAAGTCGTGAAATTGAATCACTTGAAATAAAATCAAATTGACTTAGGCGTAAACTGTGTTATAGTGAACACCATGGAACTTCATCAGTTTTACCAAATACAGCCATACAGAGAAAGAATGATAACAAAATCGTCATTATCATAATCACAACAGAATACAAATTTTATGTATTGAGTACTACAAGGAGTCGATAAAACAGGATACTGAAAAAAGACACATCCAAATGTGCTGACACCAAAAATCCTAGTTCGGAGTCTTTAAAAAGAATTACATAGAGTTTTCGAAAGTGTTACCCAAAAAGCAGATGGACAGTATACGTTTGCATTGTCGATATACACTAGACGTTTTGCCCCTTGATTATCATCGTTAAAACAAAACAAGGCCCTAAGCAGCATGAAAAAAAAAGCAAGAAAGAGAAAGAGGCAAATAAGTAAACATAGTACATGTATTTTAAAAAATAATTTATTTAGTCTTTTTAACGGTAGAAATAAACGTTTAACTATGCAGCTTTTGTTTGTTTGTTTGTGCCTTTAGTCTTCTCCCCCCCCCCTGCCCTAGACAATTCTAATTTGTATCTAAACCTGTTTCACAAGATTAAAATATTATCCCATATCTATACTTACCGCTATGGTCAGGAAAATCTGGAGAAGTTAAGCTCAATGACTTAGCGCATGATTTGGAAGAAAGAGATCTAAATAGATTTATTATTCACTAATCTTATTGCTCGCTTTTGAACCCGGTAACAATGACGCAGTTGGAACGTAATAATATCATCTGAAACTCGCCCGGTATTATTATAGATCTATAGGCTACGAACACGTCAAATAAAACTCGGTCACTTTTCCCCCCGTCATTACACATATTTCAGAGGTTTCTTTGTTGCTGTTTTGTTCTAATATTTTTTTCTTAATTGTTAAGTGCGTTTAGTTGGGTTATTTTTACGCTCTCATCGACAAACATTTGAGATAAGTTAGGAAGCGGGCGTCACCCTTTCCTGTCGGGGCCAACCCAGGCTGAGAGAGACACAACATCCCAATGGTTTGGTTTATTTGTGAACCAGTCAATTGGTAATGAACTCTGTTTAACCCTATCCGTATGTCATGATTTACTATCGTATCCATACGACTTGGGGAACTCTGTGCCACCACTTTACAAAGAAAAAAATTACTGGTTAATCCGATCCGTACGCTTTGCATAACAGTCTGTCAAAATGATTTTTTGAGAAATACTGAAAGTTTCAAAGAGATCTTCGCACTAGAAGTACATGTGTATTCTAAAATGGGAAGAATACAACGCCGGGGGTACAAAATGATCCCAGGACGTACTGATAGGGTTAAGTAGGCACAAATCTGCCGTGCGCTGACAAAACACCCTTTTCGTAATCACAGCAGTTTCGAGATATAAAGGCGTATTGTCAATGTAACCGTTTAAAAAAAAAGGTCGTTCTTCCGAAATTTGAATTCTAATTTATTTAAAAACAAAACTAGTCACAGTTTTACTTTGATATTTTTTTCACACATGCAGGGAAACTGACCAGGCTATCGATTTAGGAACCAAAAGAAGAAAGAAACTGATGCCACATTATTTTTTAAAAATTAAAGCGCTTAATAGGGACTGACCACTTGCTTTAACACAAAAGCTTACACGATCTGTTTCAAGATGAGAGTAGTTGCGCTTCCAGCTGGTGTGCAGATAGTCTATTAACCCCCCCCCCCCCTCCCAATTAAATTTTACCGTGCTCATGCCATTTGAAGCACTACGCTCCCGTTTATTTGTTTCTGTGTTTTGATTTGTTTGTTTATTTGCTTGTTTGTTTGCTTGTTTGTTTGTTAATCTATTATTTATTTATTCCTTTATTCGTTTATTCATTTATTCATTTATACTATTTAACTTGTGTTCTAGTTGTTGTTGGTTTAATTCATCGCTAAGTGCTGGCAATTAGAAACGACAAAACCTACTTCTTGTCTGAAATGTAAATAACATTAGTACCTCACCGGTTTGTTAGATAAATTGTAAAGTGCGAATAAGAGACAATCATATTAATCTTTCTATTGAAACAACTTCATTGAAGCCCTGCTAGCTCCTAATACAGCTACTAAGTCTTTACAAACAAACAAATGTGGAAACACATATAGGAAATACAATAACAATTTAACAAATGCAAGCACATGTAAACACATAGTTTATTTGTTTCTGTCTTCTGCATAACCTCCTGCTTGTTCTACTGTAAGAGGGTGGTTGGCGATTGCTCTGGTATGGCTGGTTTGCTCCTATTCTCCTGTCAAACATAATAATTATATCGCTGTTATCTCTCCTGCTTCCTTTCTTTGCATTTTACTCTCTGGAAAACCTTAAATCTTCAGCACTTAGTTATATATTACATAGTTGTGTATCGTAAAACTCTTACTAAAACTAAGAAGAAATCAAACCAAGCAAACAATTTAAAACGACATGAAACAAAGCGAAACGAAACAAAGCAAAATGAAACAAAGAAAAGCGAAACAAAGCAAAACAAAACAAAACAAAACAAAACAAAACAAAACAAAACAAAACAAAACAAAACAAAGCAAAGCAAAACAAAACAAAACAAAACAAAACAAAACAAAACAAAGCAAAGCAAAACAAAACAAAACAAAACAAAACAGAGCAAAACGAAACAATGCAAAGCCAAAACAAAAATCTCCGTGCATGTTATTGAGTGATAAACGAAAACGACCATAAAAGAGAGAAACATAGCCCGTGAAAAAACAAATTGATGATGATTCCGGCCACCGCGTGTTACAATAAATCTCAGGACGAGGTCGGTGGTCCGTTTGTGTAGTTTGTCTGCTCCACTGCTCACAAATCAGGCTAGTGTTTCCTCATACGCTTGACCACGACTGACCACCGTGACGGTAGAGAGGCTAGCAAGAACATTGGAGGCTGTACAGTAGGCGAATTGAGTTTTCTGCTTGAGTATTAGTAAGTATTAGTTTTACGGCACCTGCAACACAAAGTGGTCTTGTAAGTGCTGGAAATTAGAAGTGTTACAAAAGATTAAGATACACAGAAAAGACGGGGAGAGATAAAGGACAAAAGATGTTTTGATTAGGAAAAAAAAGAAGGAGCATCCTACACCCACACACCCGCCAACCATTCGCTCAAGCGTCGAGGCTGGAAACATTAGGTCTTGAGAAAGCCTGTAGTTTTTACGTGTACTTTGTTTCGACAGTTTTTGGGAGGTTCCTGCCCTATAATAAATGACACTACAAAGCTAACAATATCTTGTGAAAGAAGTAGAATGCAGTCTCTTCTTTTGTTTTAGTAAGGGTTTTACGGCGCTCGCAACTGCATAAGGTCATATTAGCGCGCAGTCTTCTTTTGTTTCGTAAGGAAGAAAAATGAAAGTTGAATGTGTTGATGACAACCGCGTCCATTT